TGCTAGGATGATACTCTATTTGCCCAAGACCATCATATCATCATGATAAAGTGAAAGCAATGACCGTCATCACTTACTAGTGTAAGGCGGTGACTGGATAAGAATATGTGGGCAATGATGATGTTGGCTTCAACCGTTCAGTGACCAAGCAATGATCACAGTCCTGCTCTAATGACAGCTCACGTCTATCATCAGGAATTGTCAGAAAGATATCATTGGGTTTTGTCCAGCATGGTCAGTCATACCCAAACGCATACGCAACAATTCCGCGGAACCATGATCTCCGTCCGGCGCAAGAGTCTGAGTGCGAGCCAGCTCGCGTAAGACGATGTCGTGCTGCTCGAGAGCTCCAGATAGGTTAGCAACACGACAGCAAGCTGCCCGTATCGCTAACAGGACCGGAGAGGGCAACTCGGGAACGGCCTGATTCAGCTCTTTGCACGTGTCGACCAAAGTTGGATCAACGGTGAACGTGACGCGGTGTTGTTGCACGCTTCGGAAGGAAGAGAAGTTGGGCAGACTTGATACGATGTTGTAAGTGTGGGGCTACTTGGAATGAGACTGTTTAGACTGGTGGTAAAGAGGTTCTTGCCTGGTCGTTAACTTCCTCCAGCCACACAAGCATTTCATTGAAGAGGCTATAGAGATTCCCGTCCATGCACAGGAGGTTCGCATCCCGATGGACTCCGAGTCTGGTTCCAACCCACTGTTTATGTCCAACACAGAACAGTTCAAGAATCGCGTCAGCACTGGCACTATACGCCTCCTGAAAAGGTTTTAGTTTCAGCAGGACTGAATTAATGCATTGAACCAGCCTGGTTGTCGCTGGATTGTGAGCACTGCGCCCTCGTTATCGGTAAGCCTGCGGGCCTCGAGTTCGGGATAAGTTGCAATATCATAGCATCCTGTCAACTTGCACCGGAAACCATCGCGCAGCAGGGCCTCGTTAATGTTTTACTGGATAGTCGCACAGCAGCAGACGACTCACTCGGTCGCGGACATCCGAATCCATCGCCTCGTTAATGATCGAATATCAATTTGTATATACATCATCTCGGCACACACGCCGCATGCCGCACGCCGCAGGCTCCTGCGCCTCCTCCTGCGCCGGCTCCTCTGCCCGCCCAAACGCGGTCACGTGATGCTAAATCTCACAGATTCGCAGTTAGCATTCCTTCCACAGATTCTTATTTTGGCGCTAGAAAATCGTCAGTCTCTGGTTCACAGCTTAAACGCGTTAATTAAGAACTTCCAACGCGTTTTCTGGGAAGGCATTCCCATTCTGCAGTTATTGCAGTGTCCATGCATGGTCTCCCCTCCCGAAGGTAGCGCAGCAAAGGCAACAAAAAAAAAAAGATGAAGGTGATGACTCACTAAATGTTGGCATCAAGTCCGAAATGAATGCCGCCATATGATGTCGAAAGCTTGGAGGGCACCAAGACACCGTGTGTGTGTGAGAGACTTGTTCTGACTTGAATAGACACATTTTGCTAGAAATCAGTAAGCGCACAAGCAAGCACAAGGAGAAAGACTTACTAGCAGCAGTCTCGTCGTCACCATAGCCTTTCCCGAGGTCAGGCCTCCATCCTGCGGTTGCAGCGCAAGCTCGGCCATCTGTCAGTCGACGTCGACTCTGACCGCGACGCCAAGGCAAGGCCGAGTTGGCGACGGTGCAGGTCGGGGATGACCGTGCGGTCAAAGACAGGCCGCGGCTGGGTTCGCCGGCTTGGACTTGGTACCGGGCACGCTGGCTGTGACGGGGAAAGAAGATGGCGGCCATTGTCGAGCAGCAACGCAGAGCATTGTGAAAAGATTTGAGGGTGATCCCAGCAATAGTGCGCGCTGCCTGCCGTCGAGAAAGGTAGGCATAAGCCACAAAAGGTGGGGCGAAGACTCAGACTCGGCGCATCTGGTTACGATGGTTGATGACGTTTCAGACAACGAGGGTGAAAGGTGATGGCAGTGGGCAAAGCCGCAAAGGGCATCGGCGTGGAGGTAGTACTGGGCAGGCGGCCATTTTCGAGACAACGGAGATCTGCGGGCTAAGACCGGCGACGCTAAGTTGGCCATAATCCTTGGTCGAAGACTCGGGGAGTAATAGCGCCGAGCGATGATGGCGGCGCGTGCATCATTTGTGACAACGATGTCGAGGGGAGGAGGGGATGACGGCGGCGGCGGCAAAAGGTCGGCCCATGCAGCGGATGACAATTCTGTCCAGGAATCAGCAAGTGCACAAATATAATGCAGACGCTTACCATAGTTCCAGCCATCGCGCTTTCCGAGACCAGTGGTAGCACAAAGCTTTAACTCGGCGCTGAGATAGGGATGGCGGTCGTTGTCGAGTCTTTGCCGGGAGGTTACGCAAGGACTTGGTGACCCCAGTGTTGGCACGACAATGGTCCGCGCGCAAGTGGAGTCGTGAGCAACCGTTATGACAAGGTGATCGTTCGCGGGCGAAGACTCGAGTTTGCTCGGAGATGGAAAGGATATGGGGGTGATGGGTGAATGCGCGGAAATGATGGCCCGTCAGAAGCGCGTAGGGAGTATTATTGACAGCAACTTTAAGCTCGACCGCTGGGCAACTCCGTGCGGGCGGCCGTCAAGCCAGAGAGCTTAATGGGTGCGATGGTGGGAGTGAGGGATTATGGCGGGGTTGGATGACGGTCGTTGACGTTGGCATAAGGAGTTGTCGGGAAAGCGCGCGTGAATGACAGCATGGGGGAGGTCCGAGTGTAGGCGCTTCTCGCAACTTGAGAATACCAGACAGTAGTACGCGCCGAATCTAATGATATGCCTCATGAGTCGTTGTTTACACTGTCCAACACATTACTCACCGTCGTCGACGTGGATATGGGCAAGTCGAGGGATTCAGCGCAAACGAGGCAATGGCGACATGCTCTAGGACGGTAACCGGCCGGCTCTAGATTGTTGCCTTGGCCGTATGAGCACGCTCTGGGACCGTGACCGCCCGAGCTCGCGCATTGGCGAAGCGTCCTGCGCAAAAGTTGGCTTGCGAGCTTCACATGGAGAGCCATGGCTAGGAGGCAGCCGCTGCAAAGATTGCAATCTGGAGACGAGTTAACACGGTGAGCAGGACAACAACAAATAGTCTTACACGACTCGCAGTGGGCCAGCGCTGCAGGGCAACCCAGAGAAATGGCCTACAGGGAGGAGAGAGTTCTGTAGAAGAATAAGCTTCACCCCAGCACAAGATAGAAGAATGTCGAGGTGGTGGTAAACAGAGAAAAGAGTAGACAGCGTGACTTCACGTTTACGCGCCAATTCTAAGTCACAGGTTTACCTGACCATAACGTACCTGACGAACCCAAGAGTTTGACCGCGCACTTTGCTTGCTCTATGAGATGTCGCGGCAGTTGAACCTGTTGAATGCCGGTGTTGCACTCGGAGAGTCAACACAGAAAGCTTGAGTTTGGCTGTTTTGAGGACGAGCAGAGTGTTGCCAAGACTTCTCGTAAGTCGCGCGGGGAACTTGTGGACCAGTTCATTTTTGACAACATGACGGGAAAACGGAAGCGTGTCACACATCAGTTACGATCAACACGGCAAACACCGACCCCGTGAAGCAAAGTTTTTAACAATGGGACTCCATTCTCTCTGAAAAACATGGTGGGCAGTACAAAGACTGCAACACATTACTGGTCGGCGCGCCGTTTGGACCAAATGATCAAAATCACTGTCGGCAAACAAATGCCGTCCTCCTTTGATAGCGGCGATCTCTGAGCGGAGTTCCGAGTCTGACTCCGGGCTTGTACGTTTGGGCGCTGCCAATGGGAATGGTTTACGGGGAGCCAAGCCCATAAATCAATGCAAATTGAGAACGGCGAACTCGAATATACCAGTCTGCCGCGCTCGGGTGGTTGACATGAGATTGTGTCCAGCTCAGCAGGAAACGGAACAATGGTGCAGTGGTTATGCTCCAGCGCTGCCGGCGCTGCTGTTTTCCTCGTTCCACTCAGTCTTTTTGCTTTTCCTGATACCCCTCCAGAAAAGTCAACCTACACCAGTTTTATGGCTTTTGAGGTTTTTTCTCCCACTTTGATGCAAAATTTGTTGTCGAACATGAGGTCACGTGACCTACCACCGCTGGACCAAAAAGGAAATTGTCGCAGTATTTCGAGGCCTGTGGCCTAAAAAGTGCTCCGATTGCCTTGGGATTTTGCGGAAATACATTACGTAAGCATATCAATTGAATCAGGACGCGCTCTCCCTCGATATATATTCCAAAACTGTGCATATTTTCTGCACTATAAATTTCCGCTTTTTGTCATCGTTGCGTGCAGTCTTGCGCCGATTAGCCCAAATCTCTCTAGATATATTCATTACATAATCCTCCACCTATCCCTGTCCTCCGATCCGCCCAGGGACTAGAAGCAATGTTCAAACTGTCCAGATGTTCCCGTTTACTCTGCCGTTTTCAACGGCGGTCTTGGCTTGCGCTTAGCAAACGCATCAGAAGAATCATGATACATGTCAGGTCCTTATCCATGGGCGCTCCGAGCCCCCCCAATGTGGGATTTCTTGTGGTTTCTGAAAACCAAGTTTTCACATTTATCATGAATTATAGGACTTGTGTTGGCTCGGACCAGTTGTATTTCATCCAGTACCGTCGTAGAAACATACAGACAGTATAATATAGCGTCAAAACATCTTGAACTGCTCCGATATCATTCCCACACTTCCGACTTGACTCAAATCCCGCCCTAGGTACATCTGTCAACCGGTATCCACGTTGCTGTCATCCGCGTAGTGGGCGTTCCGATACCCAAGAGTATAAAAGCCTCGCCAATTTGCTGTTTTGCCATCATTCCCTTCTCTTCCCTCCTCGACCTCTCCCTCCCATTTTCGCAATCCCGCTATTGTCCGCCTCGTTCCTCGACTGTCCTCGTACGCATGGAACTTTGCAGCCCCAAGACGTTGTGGTTGACGAGGACGATGTGAAGTCGACGGCGGCGAGCGGCCAGCCTTGGTATGTTTTGCCGTTATTTGCTTTGAGCTAACTTGATTGTAGCAGGTCGTAGACGATGGCGGGCTATGGTGGTGACAATAGCATCGTTGTTGTCGACGTCGTTGGTGCTTTGGATAAGCTCGTTGTTGGCCGCGACCTTTGTGACTGGTAAGTTGTCGCTCTCCACAACGGCAGTCTGGACTTACCTGATCCACAAGTTCTCTACTCGACCAGCGTCGACCCAGTAACCATGCGCGTTGGAGTCGGCTTGATCGTTGTGTCAGGGACGTGGTCGACAGCAGCATGATCCCACCGTTGTCCGCTTCATTGAGGTCAGTCCTAACTTTGTGGATGATACCCCAACCGACTTACTCGAACAAGGATGCCTCCTTGAGGATGTTCGGCCTGTTGCGGCACGAGCTGCTGCTTGAACTTCCAACCCCCATCCCATCTTCGGCAAGCTGGTTGCAGCGCGGAGCCGTTTTGGGTGCAAAGTCGATGGAGGGTTGGATGCGCCGGCTTGTTCCCTTTGAAGTGAGACGACAAGGCCGTGTTTCTCTTTGCTGATTGCCTTGGCGCAGTCTGGGTGAGTTTTCTTTGCTGGTGGTTGCGCTGGTAGGACCATTCGGGGCGGTAAATCCAAGTATTGCCGTCCCCTGCCGTGTTTGCTTACTCGAGCACGCCAGAGGAACGCGGTTGATGGCGGATTAGGATTGCTGGTGGAATAGTTTGGGGTGGAGCGGCTTTGACTTTGGAGGTGTGTCTTGCGGTCATTCGCCGAGTTTTCTAGCGCTAACTTGATTGGAGAAGGTGTTGGTGGTTGCAAACGTTGTAGACGACGGCGAAGGAGGGAAGATGGTGCAAGCTCAAAGGTGGTCGTCGACAGGAGAGAGGTCCAGCTTTGGAACTGATAGTGAGCATATTGGTCCACTGAAATGCGCACATAACTCACCCATTTTAAGCCTACTTCGCATCGTCTTCGGAATTGGTCCTTGCCGGATGCGGCTTGGGGAGTTGGAGCTGAGCATTGCTGGGAGAAATGGGCATGTTGGTCCCCCATCTCATCTGCGGGCCGAGTTTTACGAACGGCCGTCGTTGCCGGAAGCCTTGCTCGCTTTTGAACAGGTAAGAATATCGCTCTGCTGAGATTTGTCCACACAACTCACCTTTTTTAAGCATTCGCATCGTCTCCGGCAGAAGGAGTGGGATCGTAGCCGTAGATGTTTGTGCGAAAAGGCATTGAATGGCCGTGGCAGCGGAGTTGGTGCTGGGGGGCAACAGCGCTCGGGCAGAGAGTGGTCGTTGTTGGATTAAGTTGGTGCCTGCGGGCCGAGTTTATCGGAGGAAAGACCGGCGTTGACTTCCGTTCCAGGAGCCCTACGCGGTCATAAGTGAGCACATTGTTCCGCTGAAATCTGCTCACTCACTTGTTTCCGGCTCTCTAGGTTGGATCGGCACGCAACAGGCAGGATTGATGTAGTCGTAGCCGTAGGATAAGGCACTGGGTTGCCGCGTGAGTTTGAGACAAGTTTGAGACGGCGCGTGAGCCATTGCCGCCTTGCTGGATGCTACTTTGAGGCAGCTGAGAGTGCCGACATGCATGGAGAAAGTCAAGATCATCGCGTGCCGTCACACGAAATCGTGACTTGTCTTTCGACCACGACGGCGGGTAAGTCTTCCTGCCTCCACGTTTATGTCTGCTTGCTCACTCTGTTGTAGACAGACACTTGCCTCACTTCCAACGTCTTCCGGGCCACTGCCCGTTGCCAAGTCAAGCAATTCCGAGGGGGAGGGACAAATGGTTTGGTGGTCGTGGTCGCGGCAAGGTGCGTTCTCTTCCATTCTCCATGAAACTATTAAACGGTCAATGCAGGTACATATAATACCGTCGACAATACTGCGCCAACACAAGAGGGTCGACCTAGGCCAAACGGGCAACTCGCCCTCAACAACATCCTTCGAATGACTCGCGGCCCCGGTCTTAGCGCTGGCTTTTGTTAACGCGGTGCCCCGCCCTACACGGTCAAAGACAGGCCGTGGAAGCCTTATATGACGCCAAGGTCAGTCTTCTCGTTGATTATCCCCACTTCTGGCTCATTCTTCGCCACAGACATGTCGAAAACAAGGGTGAATTTGTCTGTATGGCTACGCTTACGTAAGCATTTTCTGCGCCATTTTTTGCCTTGAAAACCTCACTTTTTCGCAGGGTTTTGCCGCCGGAGGCGTAAATAACGCCCTGAACTTGAAGGTTACGCACTCGCATCAACATACCTCATCCGCTGGTGCCCATCGTTTGCGAACGCGAGCAATGCGCCGTTAGGCGCATCATGCTGAGAGTCGCGCTGCCAACACCATTGCAAACGGAAGCGCGCGCCTCACATTGTGGCTGGTGGCCGAGGTCAGTCTCTACCTTGATTCTGTTGCGATTCAGGGCTCATTTCCCGTGGCAGACACGCTCAAATGGGTGAAAACGACGGTAAATTTGCTTGAGTAATTGTCCTTACGTAAGCACTTTCCGCTCATTTTTTTGCGTTTGAAAACTCATTTTTACCCAGGATTTTGCCGCCGGAGGCGTGAATAACGCCCTGGACTCGAAGGTCACGCACTCGCATCAACATGCCTCGTCCCCTCGTGGCCATCGTTTGCGAACGCGAGCAATGCGCCGTTAGGCGCATCAGGCTGAGAGTCGCGGTGGGGAGCGCGCGAGAGATGCGCCGTCAGGCGCATCACATTGCGCAAGTGAATAAGTTATTCGCTATCTGAGTCTGTAACTTACAGAGCTCGATAGATCTGGAACGCGAGCCACTGCTCAACGCGCAAGACAATATTGGGCTTGTTTGGGAGCATGGGCAACGGGTTTTGGAATGGTCGGCCCCGCAATACAAGGTAAGCTTTTAGTTCCTGTCTTATCACACTTATTTACTTCGCGGTTCAGGCCTGTTCACCATTGAGCTCGCTCGAGAGGACTCAAGAGCAGCGAGCAGCAATGCGGGTCTGGAGCTTTTAAAAGTATGGGTGTGTTCGTGACTACTTGTTGTGGATGCTGACTGTGTTTACTAGTCTGCAACGATTTGATTTTCGACACGTCGGCGATGGGAACGAGTTGTCGATGATTGAATTGCTCAGAACGTCAAGGTGAGTTTTCATCACCTCCTGTTATTGAATCCCAACAACTTTACAGTTGTTGGGATTCAATCGACTATTGCGTCGAGTTTGCGCGTTTTGGCGCGGAATGGTTGGCGCCATTGTCCAAGGTAAGTTTTCCGTTCCTATCTTAATGCTGCATTTGTATACCTTGATTCAGACCTGTTTGCGGACAAAGTGTCTTGGCCGCGTCTGCGAGTCGAGAAGAACAACGACGCGTAGGTCGCCTTGATGTTGGCGAGTTCTATACCTGATTGACTTGCAGTTGTTTCGGTATCACCTCCTTGTTGGGCGACGACGTTGACGCGAGAATGAAGTAATCGAGGAGCGTGGGGGGCGAAAAGTAGGCGTTTGGAGATGAGTTAGATGTCTCGAAGGTGAGTTTTCCGGCAATCGCGTGTCGTTATTCATGCTAACTACTTGACAGTTTTGTTACGATGGACTTACGCGTTGGGGTACCACGAGAATGTAGTAGTCTACATCACTTATGGGAATGCGAATAGGCTGCGCGGCATTGAAATCTTCGACCTGTTAGACCGCGCTCGGTGGAGAACCGCAGATAGCGAGGGACATCGAAAAGTAGTGTCCAACTGCTGTTGACTTGGACACTTTTTACTTTTTTTCAGTCTGCGAGCGCAGCTGCAAGAGCAGGACCAGCGACAACGCGAGGGCATCCAGGAGATCGAATGTGCTTGCGGCGGTGTCCCGGTTCCGTTCTTTTGCTGATGGCGTTGGTAGTGATACTAGGAAAGGTGCTGAACACCGAAGTCATCGAGCACATGAAGAGCGGCGCTGAAGCAGACATTGCACGCCAAGTAGACGCGTTAGTGGCCGCCCAGGTGGCAGAGCTTTTGAAACTGCACATTCCCGAGGAGCTGCAAGTCGAGGTTGCGCGGCAAGAGGAATGGTTGGAGGAGATCCAGAGGGATCTCCGCAATTCGTGCGTTTTCATGGCTGACAGACATCATTTTTTATCCTGATTTAATGCAGCGAGAACCGGCGGGCAAATGCGATGCTTCGCGATGGCGAGTCAGCACCGCTGCAGCCGATCTACAAGATGGACGGAACGGTCGCAGACAAGTTTCCATCGACGCTGAAAGAGCTGTTTGAAATGGACGGTGAGTCGAGGCAACGAAGCGGCCTGGGCTGAAGAGGGGCTCTAGTATCGACCTCGCAGGAGCTTATGAGGGAATACGAGCTGTCCGAGTGCTCAGCGTCGCGCGAACGAAACCTCAACCGACTGATGCAGTTCTTCAATGTCAAATATCAATTGGTGGGTGTCTTGTGTGGGTGTCAGCTTGAATAACACTCAGGCTGGCGCTGTAGGTTCGTGAAGGAGGAAGAACAAAGAATTTGGGGATGTTGTGAACAAGGCAAAGCGCACGTAATGAAGTAACATCTAATGAGCCAATGATGAACCCAAACGCATGCGCAACAATTCCGCGGAACCATGATCTCCGTCCGGCGCAAGAGTCTGAGTGCGAGCCAGCTCGCGTAAGACGATGTCGTGCTGCTCGAGAGCTCCAGATAGGTTAGCAACACGACAGCAAGCTGCCCGTATCGCTAACAGGACCGGAGAGGGCAACTCGGGAACGGCCTGATTCAGCTCTTTGCATATGTCGACCAAAGTTGGATCAACGGTGAACGTGACGCGGTGTTGTTGCACGCTTTCGGAAGGAAGAGAAGTTGGGCAGACTTGATACGATGTTGTAAGTGTGGGGCTACTTGGAATGAGACTGTTTAGACTGGTGGTAAAGAGGTTCTTGCCTGGTCGTTAACTTCCTCCAGCCACACAAGCATTTCATTGAAGAGGCTATAGAGATTCCCGTCCATGCACAGGAGGTTCGCATCCCGATGGACTCCGAGTCTGGTTCCAACCCACTGTTTATGTCCAACACAGAACAGTTCAAGAATCGCGTCAGCACTGGCACTATACGCCTCCTGAAAAGGTTTTAGTTTCAGCAGGACTGAATTAATGCATTGAACCAGCCTGGTTGTCGCTGGATTGTGAGCACTGCGCCCTCGTTATCGGTAAGCCTGCGGGCCTCGAGTTCGGGATAAGTTGCAATATCATAGCATCCTGTCAACTTGCACCGGAAACCATCGCGCAGCAGGGCCTCGTTAATGTTTTACTGGATAGTCGCACAGCAGCAGACGACTCACTCGGTCGCGGACATCCGAATCCATCGCCTCGTTAATGATCGAATATCAATTTGTATATACATCATCTCGGCACACACGCCGCATGCCGCACGCCGCAGGCTCCTGCGCCTCCTCCTGCGCCGGCTCCTCTGCCCGCCCCAAACGCGGTCACGTGATGCTAAATCTCACAAGTTCGCACTTAGCATTCCCTCGTTAGATTCTTATTTTGGCGCTAGAAAATCGTCAGTCTCTGGTTCAGGCCTTAAACGCGTTAATTAAGAACTTCCAACGTTTTCTGGGAAGGCATTCCCATTCTGCAGTTATTGCAGTGTCCATGCATGGTCTCCCCTCCCGAAGGTAGCGCAGCAAAGGCAACAAAAAAAAAAGATGAAGGTGATGACTCACCAGGTGCCATAATCATCTTACAGCAGAGAGAACACGGGTCGCGGGGTCAACTGCCACGATGAGTAGGCGGGTTAAGGTGGTGAACGGCCATCGCGCAGTTATCGGCATGGGTGCGGACGAGTATCGCATGGTTGTCGCTAGCATGGAGGACTGTCGAGATGCGGGATGAAAGCAGATGGCAGCAGCCGGAGCCATGCACGAATCAGGTGGGGACAGCGGTGAGCGCATCGGAGTCGTGATGAACGGCGGATGACTGCCATGATGGCAACATAGACTCGGGTCGGCAGTCGAGGAGATGGTTGCGGCATGGCCAGGCCAGGCATGAATGATGGTGGCCAGCGTGGATGGCCGCGGCGGCAAGATGAAACCGGATAGGCGATGGTCGTTGCTCAGATGTGAGACTGGAAGCTCGCATGGAGGTGACCACAAACAGTGTCGGCTTTGGCGGACTTGACGGTGGGGGAAAGAAGCTCGGACCATAATGAACTTGGCGAGCAAAACCTTGCGGGTAGCACGTGGCGCTGAGACGGGGAGATGGCGGCCGTTGTCGAGTACAGAGCATTTGCAACCAACGTGTTGTGTCAGATGGGCGTGATGAAAGTAGAGGGAGGCCTGGTCAATGGCGGTCAGCAGCTATACGAGAAACTTGAAAAGCTTAGACTTACCACCACCCGACTTGAAGCCAGCGGCTTTGGCGGACTTAACGGCGGGGGAAGGAGAGTCGCGTTGGGCTCGGACGAGGCCGACCGGCCGACGCGGAGAGGGGGTGATGAAGTTGGTGAATGAATGGCCTTCGCTCGTCGCCAAGGTGCAGAACTTCAAGTCGAGCGGGGCAAGTGGTCCTGGGCAGGCGGCCATCCTCCGGGCAAAGACCGGCGAGGCCAAGTTGGCCATGATGACAACTTTGAGCCTTGATCGAAAACGGGGGGGTAATAGCGCCCGGCGATGATGGCGGCGCGTGCTCAAGCGTTGACAACGTGGCGGGGGAGGAGGGGATGACGGCGACGGCAGCAAAAGGTCGCCCGGGGAGCAATTCTGTCAAGCATTTAGCAAGTGCACGAATATAATGCAGACCTCAGTCGTACCTTAGTTCCAGCCATCGCGGCTGGCTTTCCGGGACCAGTGGTAGCACAAACGCGTGCAATATTTGCTTGCTTCAAGGATGGCGGCTGTTGTCGAGTCTTTGCGGTTAAGCAAGGGCAATGCGGCGCTCAACTTGCTGACTGCAACGACGAGCGAGGTAACCACCATAGTCGCGGCAAAAGGTGAGTGATGGATTGTTCGCGGGCGCAGGCTTGGCCTCGGCACTGTTGATTGTGATCGTAGACGCCGACAATGGCGGCGCATGACGCGGTTGTCGCTTTGAGGCCGGGTCAAGGGATATGGGGGGAATGGCGGGAGACCATGGCGACAGGTGGGCGTCGAGTCAGAGGCACCTTTTGAAGGTGATGAAGGCACGCGGCGCGCAACGGGCGGCGAAATGGCCGTCAAGCCGGGGAGTCTAACAATATATTAGTTGTTGTCGTTTACACCGTACAAGACGTTACTTACTGTGGTTAAAGCGCGGTGGGAGTGTTGAAAGACGACGCGGTGAGGCCTGAAAACTGAACGAGCGCGTCAAGACAGTCTGTACAGACTGCGAGCTCGCTGTGAGACCATGAGCCAGCGCCGAAGGAGCAGAAAATGAAACTCACAGTGATGCAGGACCCGGGCTTGCCAGCGACGCCTGGTTGACTTCGAGGAGGTGAGAATGAGCTTGAGGAGACAGAAGTGGTGGTAGACAGAGAAAAAGAGGGCGACAGTGTGACTTGATGTTACATCCCCGTAAGTAGGCGTAAGTTCTAAGCGTAAGCGACATCGTTGACAGAGTTCACTGGAAGGTAGTGTTGAACTTCAGGCAGCGTGTTGCTCAGGTTTTGCGTGTTCAGAGTTTGTTGACGATAAGGCTGGCCTCTGCAGCAAGCAGAGGGAGGGCTGCGAGCGTGCTTGGAGAGCTTCAAGTTGCCAAGTATTGTCGTAAGGTCGCACGTAAAGGCGGTGAGCTAGTTCATGCTGTCAACATGACGGAGAAACGCAAGCGTGTCACACATCAGTTCCGATCAACATAAATGGCGTCTTCACACAAAATTTTACAGTGGATGCAGAACCTTAGACTGAGAACGACAAAAACCTCCCTGGTCAATACACAAACCAGTCCAAGGCTGGCTGCTTTTGGAGCTTTCCCAAGCTCCGGCACCAAACCATCGAATTTGATATCGGCAAGCAAATGCCGTTCTGATACTAAACTATGAGCGGAGATCCGACTCCGGCAGGCCATGTACGTTTGGGCGCCGCCAGTAGGAATGGTTTGCGGGGAGCCAAGCCCGCGCACAAATGCAAATTGTCAGCGGCGAACTTGAATTTGCCGTTTTGCCGACGGGAGGTGCTGCACAAAGGATATCGTGGAGACCAGTGAGAAACGGACTAATGGAGCAGTGGTTATGCTGCAGCGCTGGCGCGCTCCTGTTTTCCCGTTCCACACAGTCTTTTACTTTTTTTCCCATACTTCCCACCCATAACAGAGATTGTCCTAGTCTAACCATTTGTAGGGGCTTTGTAGCACTTTCACGCGCAAAATTGTTGTTGAACATGGTCACGTGACCTAACACCACTCGACCAAAAAGGAAATTCACGCAGTATTTCGCGACGTGCGGCCTCAGGAATGCTCTAAATGCTTAGAGACTTTAAGGAAATACATTACTTAAGCCCCTGAGTCAGGCAACGACGCGTCCTCCCGCGATATATAACCTCAAAAATGCGTATATTCTCCAGACCACAAATTTCTGTTTTCTGCCATCTACGCGTGTAATCCTGCGCCGATTACCTCAAATTTTCACAGAAATGTAGCTTACGTAATTAGTGATCTGCCTGTACTCTCCGATTCCCCCACAGACTAGCGCTAATGCTTGGTATGCTTAGATGTTCTAGTTTACTCTGCCGTTTTCAACGGCAATCTGGCGCTGAGCTTAGCGAACACGCCAGAAGCATCATGGCACATGTCTGCTACCTGTCAGGTCTGTATCCATGGGCGTCCGAGCCTCGCCAATGCTCCATTTCTTGTACTTTCTGAAAACTCAGTTTTCACATTTAACGTGGATTATGGGACTTGTGGTGGCTGGAACGAGTTGCATTTCATCCAGTACAGTAGTATAGGCATAGGGACAGTATAATATAGTCTCAGAACCTCTTGAACTGCTCCGATATCATTCCCACACAATTTACATCTTCCGACTTGACTCGAATCCCCGCTAGGAACATCTGTCAAGCGGTATCCACCGCTGCTGTCATCGCTTAGTGGGCGCTCCGAAGCCTGAGGATATAAAAGCCTCACCATCTTGCTGTTTTGCCATCATTCCCTTCTCTTCTTCCCTCTTCTCCTCGACCTCGATGGCGCTCTCCCTCCCATTTTCACGATCCCGCTATTGTCCGCCTCGTTCCTCGACTGTCTTCGCACGCATGGAGCCTTGCCGCCCTAAGATGTTATGGTTGACGAGGACGATGTCAAGTCGATTGAAGATTCTGGCTTTGGTGGTGTGTTTTGCCGTTATTTGGGTCGTAGACGATGGCGGGCCATGGTGCTGGCAATAGCATCGTTGTTGTCGACGTCGTCAGTGCTTTGAATAAGCTCGTTGTTGGCCGCGACCTTCGTAACTGGTAAGTTGTCGCTCTCCACAACGTTAACAACAATCTGGACTTACCTGACCTTTTAGGTGCGAAGTCGATGGGGTTGGATGTGCCGGCTTGTCCCCTTCGAAGTGGGACGACAAAGCCGTGTTGCCTTGCCTCCGGCATGGTTTTCGTTGCTGGTGGTCGCGCCGGTGGGGCCATTCTGGGCGGTAAATCGAAGTCTTGCCGTTCCCTGCCGCGTTTGCTTCCTTGAGCACGACAGAGGAACGCGGAGGAGGCGAAGTTGATGGCGAATTTAGGATTGCTGGTGGGATGATTCGGGGTGGAGCGGCTTTGACTTTGGAGGTGCGTTTTGCCGTTATTTGCCGAGTTGTCTTGCGAGCTAACAGGTGTTAGTGGTCGTCAACGTTGGAGACGACGGCGCGCATGGTGCTGGCAATGTCAGCGTTGTTGCCAAGGACGTTGACGTTGTTGGTACTTTGGATAAACTTCGTCGTTGTCCCCACCCGCTCGAAACAGCCGTCGGTGATGTGGAGATGAATAGTCGTTGGATTTAGCGAATGGGTGTTGTTCTCAGAGGTAAATTGCTATGCATTCTGGCGCTGAAAGGTTGTGGTGGTCGTTGGAGTCGGTTGGCGGTGGGAGTCCGTCCCAATTTCGAGTTGCTTCCGGGCTGAGCTTGAAGGCGGTTGTCGACGGGGGAGAGGACCGGCTTTGGGACTAATAGTGAGCATATTGGTCCACCAAAATGCGCAGATAACTCACCCGATTCAAGCCTACTTCACATTGTCTTCAGAATTGGTCCTTGCCGGATGCGGCTTGGGGAGTTGGACCTGCGTTGCCGAGAGAAAGTCCCCATCTCATTTGCGGGCCGAATTTTGTGAAAAGCGGTCGTTGCCGGAAGCCTTGCTCGCCTTTGGACTGGTAAGAATATCGCTCTGCTGAGATTTGTCCACACAACTCACCTTTTTCCAGCATTCGCATCGTCTCCGGATTAAATCGGCAGAAGGAGTGGGATCGTAGCCGTAGATGGTCGTGCGAAAAGACATTGAGTGGCCATGGCAGCGGAGTTGGTCAGCGGTCGGGCAGAGAGTGGTCGTTGTTGGATTCAGTTGGGGATCTGCGGGCCGAGTTTATCGTAAGAAAGACCGGCGTTCCAGGAGACCTACCCGGTCATAAGTGAGCACAATGTTCCGCTGAAATCCGCTCACAACTCACCTGTTTCCAGCCTTCTAGGTTGGATCGGCACGCAACATGCAGGATTGATGTAGTCGTAGCCGTAGGATAAGGCGCTGAGTTGCCGCGTGAGTTTGAGACGGCGCGTGAGCCATTGCCGCCTTGCTGGATGCTGCTTTGAAGCGGGAGAGTGCCGACATGCATGGAGGAAGTCAAGATCATGCGTGCCGTCACACGAAATCGTGACTTGTCTTTCGACCACGATGGCGGTAAGTCTTTGTGCTCTTTACGTCTGCTTGCTCACTCTGTTGCAGCCAGACACTTGCCTCATTTCCCACGTCTTCCAGGCCACTGCCAGTTGCCAAGTCAAGCAATTCCGAGGAGGAGGGACGAATGGTTGGGTGGTCGTGGGTCGCGGCAAGGTGCGCTCTTTTCCATTCTCCATAAAACTACTAAACGGTCAATACAGGGACATATAAGACAATACTGCGCCAACACATGAGGGTCGACCTAGGTCAAACCGGCAACTCGCCCTGAACAACATCCTTCGAATGGCTCGCGGCCCTGGTCTTAGCGCTGGCTCTTGTTAACACGAAGCCCCGCCCTACACGCTCAAAGACAGGCCGTGGAAGCCTTGTATCGTTCTTCGACTTCAAACTGGGCAACGCGGGCAAGAGGAATGGTGCTGGCTGTGGAGAAAGAAGCAACGGCCTTTGGGTTCGAGGTACGTGGCCAAAACGCGGAGTGCCTATGTGCTTACCTTGTTGCAGTTCGGCGATCATCCTTCACCAACTTCAAGTGCGGACCACCACCACCACCACGTTGCAATTGGAGGGAGTGAAGGACGGCTTGCTGCGGTCATAAGGTGTGTTACTCATTCATGCTACCAACAAGGTTATTGAAGGAAAGCATCGTTAGCAATACCGCCTGACCCTGCGCAGGTTACGACCAACGCAAGAGTAGGGTGGGCTGTCGGATGGCGCAGGCGGGAGAGGTCGGCAAAAGGTGGCCAACCCCGCCCCACACAGATCAGAGGACAAGCTTTGTCGCCAAGGTCAGTCTCCTCGTTGATTATCCCCACTTCTGGCTCATTTTTCGCCACAGACACGTCGAAAACGAGGGTGAATTTGCCTGCATGGCTAGGCTTACGTAAGCTTCTTTCTGCGCCATTGTTTGCCTTGAAAAACTCACTTTTTTGCAGGGTTTTGCCGCCGGAGGCGTAAATAACGCCCTGGACTTGAAGGTCACGCACTCGCATCAACATACCTCATCCGCTGGTGGCCTTCGTTTGCGAACGCGAGCAATGCGCCGTTAGGGCATCATCATGCTGAGAGTCGCGCCGCCAACACCAAATCGATTGCAAACGGGAGCGAGCGCGAGAGATGGCACCTCACATTGTGGCTACTATGCCTTTTGCACCAATGTCAGTCTCCACCTTGACTCTGTTGCAATTCAGGGCTCATTTCCCGTTGCAGACACGCTCAAATGGTTCGAAACGACGGTCAATTTGCTTGTGTAACTGAGCTTACGTAAGCACTTTCCTGGTCATTTTTTTGCGTTTTCAAACTCATTTTTGTGCAGGATTTTGCCGCCGGAGGCGTGAATAACGCCCTGGACTCGAAGGTCACGCACTCGCATCAACATGCCTCGTCCCCTCGTGGCCATCGTTTGCGAACGCGAGCAATGCGCCGTTAGGCGCATCAGGCTGAGAGTCGCGGTGGGGGGAGCGCGAGAGATGCGCCGTCAGGCGCATCACATTGCGCAAGTGAATAAGTTATTCGCTATCTGAGTCTGTAACTTACAGAGCTCGATAGATCTGGAACGCGAGCCACTGCTCAACGCAAGACAATATTGGGCTTGTTTGGGAGCATGGGCAACGGGTTTTGGAATGGTCGGCCCCGCAATACAAGGTAAGCTTTTAGTTCCTGTCTTATCACACTTATTTACTTCGCGGTTCAGGCCTGTTCACCATTGAGCTCGCTCGAGAGGACTCAAGAGCAGCGAGCAGCAATGCGGGTCTGGAGCTTTTAAAAGTATGGGTGTGTTCGTGACTGTGTTTACTAGTCTGCAACGATTTGATTTTCGACACGTCGGCGATGGGAACGAGTTGTCGATGATTGAATTGCTCAGAACGTCAAGGTGAGTTTTCATCACCTCCTGTTATTGAATCCCAACAACTGTAAAGTTGTTGGGATTCAATCGACTATTGCGTCGAGTTTCTGCGTTTTGGCGCGGAATGGTTGGCGCCATTGTCCAAGGTAAGTTTTCCGTTCCTATCTTAATGCTGCATTTGTATACCTTGATTCAGACCTGTTTGCGGACAAAGTGTCTTGGCCGCGTCTGCGAGTCGAGAAGAACAACGACGCGTAGGTCGCCTTGATGTTGGCGAGTTCTATACCTGATTGACTTGCAGTTGTTTCGGTATCACCTCCTTGTTGGGCGACGACGTTGACGCGAGAATGAAATGTCGAGGAGCGTGGGGGCGAAAAGTAGGCGTTTGGAGATGAGTTAGATGTCTTGAAGGTGAGTTTTCAGGCAATCGCGTGTCGTTATTCATGCTAACTACTTTACAGTTTTGTTATGATGGACTTACGCGTTGGGGTACCACGAGAATGTAGTAGTCTACATCACTTATGGGAATGCGAATAGGCTGCGCGGCATTGAAATCTTCGACCTGTTAGACCGCGCTTGGTGGAGAGCCGCAGATAGCGAGGGACATCGAAAAGTAGTGTCCAACTGCTGTTGACTTGGACACTTTTTACTTTTTTTCAGTCTGCGAGCGCAGCTGCAAGAGCAGGACCAGCGACAACGCGAGGGCATCCAGGAGATCGAATGTGCTTGCGGCGGTGTCCCGGTTCCGTTCTTTTGCTGACGGCGTTGGTAGTGATACTAGGAAAGGTGCTGAACACCGAAGTCATCGAGCACATGAAGAGCGGCGCTGAAGCAGACATTGCACGCCAAGTAGACGCGTTGGTGGCCGCCCAGGTGGCAGAGCTGTTGAAAGTGCACATTCCCGAGGAGCTGCAAGTCGAGGTTGCGCGGCAAGAGGAATGGTTGGAGGAGATCCAGAGGGATCTCCGCAATTCGTGCGTTTTCATGGCTGACAGACATCATTTTTTATCCTGATTTAATGCAGCGAGAACCGGCGGGCAAATGCGATGCTTCGCGATGGCGAGTCAGCACCGCTGCAGCCGATCTACAAGATGGACGGAACGGTCGCAGACAAGTTTCCATCGACGCTGAAAGAGCTGTTTGAAATGGACGGTGAGTCGAGGCAACGAAGCGGCCTGGGCTGAAGAGGGGCTCTAGTATCGACCTCGCAGGAGCTGATGAGGGAATACGAGCTGTCCGAGTGTCGCGCGCGCTACGCGACTAGTGCTGGAAACGCCTTGGAATGGCGAATACGACAGCTCTGGGCTGCCCGGGCGTCGGGCAACACGTGACCGACCGGGCCGACGGCAGGCCGACCCGGAAACACCTATCCAGCCAATGGCGGCCGCGTTTCGGCTCGAACGCGTCGCGGGTGGTTCAAACGGGAGCTCAAACGCGGGGAGATGATCAAAACGCGTGGTGAAACCAAACGCGTGAGGTGCGACGCGTCGCAAGTTGGCGAAACATTGAGGTGAAACAGCACGTGACCGTGGCCGGGGCGGCCGGGGCCATCAATATTAGCTAAGCGAGTAGTATATATTCAGCTCGATTTTGTACTAGATACCTCAGAATCCAACGCGCCCCCCCATAGCGGTTGTATTGCTCCCCATAGAGGAAAGGTTTTGATCAACGCCGACGACGACTACGAAGACTGAGAACACGTGAACTGTACCCGAGAACGCTACGAGAACGCTGCCCGAGAACGCCGAACGTCGGGACTATCGTCATATTGAGTGATATACCGAAACTATCGTCAAATTTTGCTGAACATTGTTGAACATAACCCCCACACCCACACCAACTGTTGATTGAAGACTATCTGGATTGCAACAACCATATACTTTGGTTGGAACCCCCGCAGTACTTGCGCTACGAACTAGGAACTATTGTCGAATTGGGAGTAACCCTGATCTAGGGTTAGGGTTGACATCAAGTGTCTACCACAAGTGTGTCTAGTGACTGAGTGTGTGTTTTGTTTTGTGTTTGTGTTTGTGTGTGTCCGTGTTTGTGTTTGTTTGTCCCCTGTCCCCTCATTGCTCCCATCCTCCACCCACTGTTCCTACCGTTCCTCCGCGTTTCATCTGGAGCCCACCGCGAGGGGGTTCATTCAACAACCAACAACAACATCCATATACGCTGAGCGTATAACATCATCAACAACGTCTACCGCCGCTGAACGTCGAGCACAACGTGCTCTTGATCGTGCTACACGTCGAGCTCAACTTGAAGAGAGCTTGATCCACAACCCAACTATCCAAGAAGAAGAAGAAGAAGAGGAGACTATTGTTAAGTCTGAATCTGATCCAGAATATTCCAGAGAAGCATCACCTATACCTGAGGGTGATATCACAGAAGAGTATAACAGAGACTCTCCTGAACCAGACTATTCCCCATCACCTGAAGAGGAATACCCACTGCTACCTGGCTTCTTTGGATTTGATCCTAGTTCAAGTTCATCTTCATCATCTTCATCATCATCTTCTGATTCAGGGATAAACAACAACAACCAACAACAACAACAGCAGAACAACATGGCCAATGCTAATGTCCAAGGTTTCAGAGTTCCTAGAGCATGGGAGACCAATGCACCCAAGTTCACTTCTGATGACAAGGAAGACCTCCTTGATTTCATGGAACATGTGGAACAGATCTTTGACCTAGCTGGTATCAATGATGATGCTGAAAAGAAGAGGCTATTGACTGGCTATCTTGGAGCAAAGAAGAGAGAAGTGTGGAGGGAGCTGCCTGAGTACCAAGCTGGTACCACTTATGCTGCCTTCAGGAGGGCAGTCATGAAAGTATACCCAGAGGCAGATGAAGATAGGGCTGGGACCCTTGATGAGCTAGAAGAGCTCTGTGATGAGTATAGAGGCATCAAGCATACTTCAGAAGGGAAGCTTACTAGGTTTGGCATGAAGTTCAGAGCCTTGGTACAGAAGTTGTACAAGGCCCCTGCCATTATCCTGAACAAGGAGGCATGCACCAAGTACTTGTCTACCCTGGAGAAAGGTTTTGCCCAATCTCTGAAGCTCGCTATGAACACCAGGAACCTACTGAGGGATGATAATGCTGCACAGGCTGGAGCAATCATTGGTCCTATAGGTCTTGACAGGAAGGAAGACCCTATCCAACTTGATGAACTGATCAAATTGGCGGAGAAATTCTCAAGGACTGGTGGGACTGATAGCTCCTTCAGTAATGATGCTCCTGAAGTGAAGAGGTCTGACAGGTTCCCAAGGGTCAAGCTTGAAGAGAGAGATGTCAGGCTTGATGATCTTGAAGGTCAGATGTCTGGTTTGAGAGATGCAGTAGTGGTTGGGCAGAAGCAGACCCAAGCCTCTATTGAAGAACTGGTCAAGACATTCCAGAACCAGAGGAATGCTCCACCACCAAGGGATGACTATGAGCAGAGGCAGTCAGCTCAGAACTCCTACGGGCAACAAGAGCGCCAATATAATCGTGGAAATTATGGTGGCAACAACTGGGGTAATCAGAGGAACAACTACAACAACAATAATGGAGGCAATGGTGGTTGCTACTATTGTGAAGACCCAGACCACTTTGCTAGAGATTGCCACAAGAAGCATGCCCACTTGGCCAAAGGTTGGATTGTTGTAGAGGATGGCAAGCAGAAGCTAGCTGATGGAGGCTTCATACCAAGGGGACCATCATCCACATCTAACAAGGTTGAGGAGTACTGGCAGAAGAAGAGTGCTGTTGGACAGAACATGTTCATGGAGGGACCATCAGTGACTGATGATGACTTTGATCTGCTCAGAGATGAGGTCAGAACCATCCACGTCAAGCTTAGTCAGCTTACAGACAAGATGACTAACACCCCTCAACAAGCACAACCTGCCTATATGAATGGGAGACAAGTCAACTCTTCCGTGAATCAACCAAGACCATCCCCTATGGGCAACAATGCTGAAGCTTTGGGCAGAGCTGTGATGAATATGCTGAATATGCAGGAAGATCGTCCTGACCAATATGTTCAGACTCGTGGTCGGTCTGGTACCAACCAATCTGGATTGGATTTTTGAATATCTCGAGGAAGGAGGCTAAATCTCGAAATAAGCCACCTGAGAGAGTTCGATTCGAAGACGAGGTAAATTCAGCAGAAAATCCAGAAAAATCAGGCAAAGCCCAGAAGGACTCAGACAAGGAGAAGAAAGTGATTAGTGAAGTGCTCAAGGAACTGCCATACAAGTTTGTCAAAGTTGGGAAAAGTGGGGCTCGAACTCAGCCACCTCCCAAAAAGGATGACCCTTCGCCAAATGAAGGCGATGCAGGCAAATTGTTCAAATTGCGAGCACCGATTCAGCGCGAAGGCCTTACGGACGAAATATTGGAGCGCATCAATAACACTGAAGTCACCATCAGACTTGGTGATCTGTTCGGACTTAGCCGAGACCTTAGGGAACAGGAGCGACAACGGTTGACCCGTGTGCGCCAACCTATTGACCCTATACAGGAGGTGCCAGCTATATCCCTAGCCCCTAAAGGTGCTCAGAAAGTTCAGAAAGTTGGAACATTCCAGTTGGACAATGATGCTCTGGAAGTCAGTGACTTGCCTGATGTGACTGGAGTATTTGTGGTCAACACAGATGTGGATGGCATACCTGCTGGATCTATGGTTGCTCAAGACCCTTACCTCCAGTACCTGGAAAATCTGGATAGTGATGAGAAGCCAAAGCAGATCTATGTGGCAAGAGACTCTGAACCTCTCAGGGTTGCCTTCCCACACATCAACTCTAAGGGACCCATTGAATGTGTTCTTGACTCTGGATCTCAGATTGTGTCCATGTCACTGGAAACAGCCCAACAGTGTGGTTTGATGTGGGACCCTACCATCAACATTTTCATGCAGAGTGCAAATGGTCAATTGGAGAAATCAATGGGACTGTCCAAAAATGTGCCATTCAGATGGGGTGAACTTACCCTTTTCCTCCAAGTGCATGTGATCAAGGGACCAGCTTACAAAGTCTTGCTGGGCAGACCCTTTGATGTGCTGACTAATAGTCGAACTGAGCATGATGGCGAAAACCAGATCCTTACCATTACTGATCCGAACTCCGGCAATCACTGGACCCTTCCCACTTATGATCGAACACGTAGGGAGAACCGTGAGAAGTCTGGTTCAAACTCGGCACATAACGGCAACGGCAATGGTCGACACCAACCGGAGTCGAACCAGGGTTTTCAGGGGTCTTCGATGATTTGGCCTGGATGGGACAAGGAGAAGAGACCGCGGTCCTGGTAGGATTTGATGAACATGGCGAAGCACGCATAGAGGAGTTGTATCAGCCTGTAGGTGGAATTATGACAACACGCAAAACTGTTGAATCATACCTCTTGGCCTCGAAATCTGAAATATGTGTCAACGACAAACTGGCGGCAAACCTATTCGAACAATTCCATCAAGCACGGACAGAGATTGTGGAAGGAGTGCAGCACAAAGTGGTTGGAAATGTGCTGGTTGATCCAGATGAAGGAGCTGTGAAGCATGAATTTGGGGCGGAGCGGTGCGTCTGCTGCCAATCAATTGACTACATCAGTCCTCCGGGAGCGAGCGAGGATGACGTGATCGGAGATGCTGATCCGGAAGCAGAGTCGGTGTTTGCGGCGAAGAAGTACAAGCCCGTGGGACTCAAAGTTCGACCGGTGTATACTGAGTTACCGGACCGGTATCGCATCAAGCGAGAGATCAAGGGTGACCCATTGGCGGACTTGCCACCACTCAACCCGAACCCTCCCGAGTATCGGGACCGACAGCGCTACACCCGCGAACGGATGGTCGACATGGAAAAACGACACAAGGACTTCTTGCAACCAGAGGAGTTGAAATTGCTGCATGATGTGGTTGGAAATCATGAATATGGCTTTGCATGGACAGATAACGAGCGCGGAGATTTCAGGCATGACTTCTTCCCACCTGTGGAATTCCCTGTGATAGAGCATGAAACATGGGTTGAAAAGAGCATACCCATTCCCAGGGGACAATTTGAAGAATTCTGCAAAGTCATCAAGAAGAAATTGGATGCTGGAGTCTATGAGCCTTCAAATGCTTCCTACAGGAGCAAGTTCTTTGGAGTTATCAAGAAGGATGGGAAGAGCATCAGACTTGTGCATGCTCTGGAACCTC